TAGTACTCCAATTATTATTATTATTATGTACTCGTCGGTTGTCTCTCTACGTTCTCACAACAGGTAAATCGTCTTAACAATCGTCTGAATACAAATGATTAAATGTGATATATGTATCACATTATAACACGATAGGTATAAACTGCCAAAGGCGATAAGCTTCAAAATTACCAATAGCTGTAATATAATACTGGATATTATCATTAGATACTGTTAAATATGTTTTAAATTACATCTTTCATCTTTCAAAATGATTTACAATATCACATTATTTTATTTTGTACATCATCATACATTTCAATATTCATGACTGTATGACACATTCAAGTATTATATTCAGAAATTATACAAATTATTTTCAATAAAAAATGCTTTAAATTGATACTTTGGAAGACCCAATCATACAGACAAAAGGTTTTAATTACCAAAATATATTTTCTATTGACTAATGCTATTGGCTAGAGAATCTAAAACAATAATTATTACTGACTTATAGGTAACAAAATATTAAAAATATGATGGTGTACCTATGTTGTAGTCATATTATTTATATATTTCATAATAAATTACACAGCCTAGTTGACTCACTCTAGAAACAATATGAGTTATGAAATTGAGTTCATAAAATATTACAACCAGTTAAAAGTTTTTAAATATTTTTAATACGATTCGTAAATTTAATTTTGTTTTATATTAAACGTTTTACAGACGCATTTTGTCATAGTGATATCATTATGGTATAGTTTTTAGCTCTTTAAAATGTCGGAAATTCTCCCACATCCTGCATGACTTTGTGCGTCGATGGCTGTGTTTTCACATACATTCACTCTCGTAATTTTATAATTTAATTCTTCGTACATTTTATCTACTAAGTACGTATGTATAATCTGCGTTTTAATAGATCACCAGTGGTAAGACCAACTCCTCGTGGTAGTAATTTTCACAATAACATACTAGCATTAAATATTTTGGGTCGAATGATTGAAATCATCTATACATATAAATACCATGTACTTCACCATTTATTTACTAATACGATGCTGTACAATATTTGTTGAAATTAATATGCTTGCAACAATGATGGTCAAAATTTTAGTTTAACGTACATACGTACATTAAGAACAGAGTTGCACATGCCAAACGTTTTTATATCACTGCTGTAACAAGTTTCCCAAAAAATACAATAAATATTATAATATATATATTATATCGATTAATATTGATTAATTACAAATTAAAACACTCTATATAATATAATATCCAATTGGTTATGTTAATAATTATTTTTGTTTTTAAATAATACGCAACGTTTGATGCAGATATATATTTTGAAAATAATTGTTATCTTCATTAACATATGGATAATTCATTCACATCATCTGGTATAGACGCATGAATTCAGTCATCGGCGTAATATGTTGGATGCAAGAGGGAGAGGACTTTGGTCCAATAATGATAATTTTTAATAGGAGTAAAGATATTGTTTCGGCATACATAATATATACGTATAAATAAAGGTTATTGTAGATATATTAAATATCAATTATCCGGACGTAATTTCAAATATATAGTGACAGCGTCGATGTATATCAGTCAAACTGATGATTGACCGTCATATTATAGGTAAATTGTATTAATTAATACTAAGCTCTGTGTACTTGAAAATATTCATGTTGACCCTCATAATATTCCATAAACCATATGCAATTTTAAAATCTAAAAACAACAATACCTTATAATTTCAAGGGTTACTACAAACTTACCACGATCAAATAAATCCTACAGTCGAAGAACTGAAGAAGTCAAATTTATAACAATTCATAAAATACTCTAGAATATTATTACTATCGAAAAAGATTTATGATTATCAATTAGGTATTTACAAAAACCACTATCCCGTAGATGCTGTAAAATTTAATACCTATAGTATCTGATGATTATCATGACCCTAAGGCTCACTTGAAATGTCTATGTCGTAGGCATATAGTCAAAGAATTTAATGTTTATGCAATTTTACTATTCGCCTAGTCATTTAATTAAATGACTAGGCATTTGATTAAATGTCTATTTCATGTCAGGCAAATAGTAAAAAAAACATCTTGTATTATTTAAAAAATTTAAATATATTTTTTATCAGTTATTTATTGCTATTTTATGTATAAAAAAGCTATGTATTATTTATTAATATGAAAAACACGTTGGTATATGAAATAATATGTTTAATTTCGTGAGCATTATTACTATTGTTCAAAAAATGAAATCATAAATATATACAGGTAATAAATAATTAGATGTGATAGACGTAGATGATAGTACGAGTATAATGTATACCCTATAGGCTATAGTCGGTATAGTCTATAGTACGAGTAGTGAGTACTATAAATTCTTATTAAATAAAAATAAAAGTTCCATTGGTTTTTACCTTGGTTGTATGAGAACCTTATCTATATTGAGTACCGTAAAATAGTGAAAAACTATTTAAAGAACTAAAGGTTGGTGATCAAATAGTATTAAGTGTTCCAAAAGTAGACCGAGGACCTATCGATAGTCAAAATATAAATGGGTTAGTGATAGACATTCGGAACGGCGTTTATCAAATTGGTACAGAAGTGAGTATAATAACAAATTGGTGTTTGAGAAAAGAACTTTAACTGATGTCAAATAATGGCTTAGAAGACAGCAAAATAAAAAAAGAAATTTGTGTTCATACGTGAAGCAGTAGCAAACTTATCAATTTACAACGGTCAAGGTTTTGTTAAATGTCAATGTCAATCAGGAAAGCGGCAATGTCAAACCAATCGGTGCTTATGTCTTAAGAAAAATCTCAAATGTTCCAGCAAATGCCACCAAATAACAACATGTGACAACAAGTAATAGGTAACAAAAACTTGTAATTATAATATAACTTTTAATTTATTTTTTATGATTTCATTTTTAAAACAATAGTATAGGTAGTGGACACGAAATTAAATATTATATTATTTCTCATAATTATTATGTTATTATTATTATTATTATTATTTTATTCTTTACGTGTTTGACATATTAATAAATAATACATACATTTTTTATGTATAAAATAGCAATAAATAACTGATAGAAAATATATTTAAATTTTTAAAATAATACAAAATGTTTTTTTTATTATTTGCCTGACATGAAATAGACATTTAATCAAATGACTAGGCATTTAACTAAATGTCTAGGTGGATAGTAAAATTGCATAAACATTAAATTCTTTGACTATATGCCTAGGCATTTAATAAAATGCCTGATTTGACTATATGCCTACTACATCTATATAAAATTCAAAAGTGGAAAGTTTGAAAAGTCTATCAAGCAATTGTGTAACTTAAAATATACAAATGATAAACAACTAATAATCCACGATGTATAAAACACAATATGTAAAATAATTTGGCTAAAGGCCTACGATATTTTTAAATATTGGAAATGTGTCGTTCAAAAAATATTAAATACTTAGTTGGTTTCAATTTCCGGGTCTTACGGTTTCAAAAGACCGACACATTCATAATACAAAACCGTATGTTTTGTAATAACATATATTTATGGCGGCACTGTGTGCTATACTTCTATTAGACTATTAACATTCTACACCCAACCCATTTCTTTTGGTACACCGCGGTATAAACCGGTGGGTGGACGACAGACTGTCACAAGTGTCACTGGCATTTTATTTACTTCTACGTCACTCGGGTAAATCCAGCAGGATTATTTAAATGCAATTAATACCTAAAGAAGAACCCAAAAGCTGTGTTTGTTCCTTAGTAGTGTTCAGTCAGCGGTAGACCAAACAATGACCGTAATCCATTTGCCTTTTAAATCCGGATTAATCTTACAGGATCGGCCAAGTAGTCAGATAACTAAGAGTGCTTAATAATATTACGTACAACTAATTACATGGTCACATCTTTTCTAAATAATATAACAAATCACTTCTAGCCAAACTGTACCAGTTTAGTGGCTAAAAGCTATTTAGAAGCTATCCCATGACCTTTTATTCGCAGAATGGATCTTTCATATGGCTTTATCAACTTGAATTTTCTTCAATATACAATATTTAATAATTGGAGATCAGATTAATTTAGTCCTATACCTAAGGCTATTTTACTTAAAGCCGCAAAGTGTATAAGAACATGTGTAAAAAATAAAAATGTATAATACATAAAAAATTAATTTGACTCAATATAAAAATATCGTTATTTTGTTATTTAATAAATCAAATGCTGTCTTCCATTTTACTTATACACATAAAACAAATAATATACCTACATTTAAATATGTTAATATGAGTATATTTTTACTATACAAATTGATCAACCATTAACCAATAATATGTATGGAAAATAATAAGTTTGGTAAAATCAAATTTGTTAAAATACATATTAATTATTAATAATAATACTAATACATAAGTGATTTGTTGCATACATTTTATTTAAAATTTATCTACAGTCACTAATTTTTAAATAAATTGTTTTCATAAAAATGTGTTAGTAAACACTGTACCTAACTATATGATTCATTGATACGTCTATTATATACACATGTACTTGGTAAATAATTCATAGTATATTACTATATATTAATATAATATTACTTGTAGGCAACGTCAAATTTCATAATATATTTATAAAACAATATTATTATTTATAATAAAATAATATTATTCATGTTCTTAAATTATTATTTAAATATGTTTTTAAACTTTATCATATTTTAATTACGTTGCGACGACGATGATACACTTTTGAATACAATTTAAATATAAAAAGTTTATAAACTTTTTACTCCGTGGTCATACATAACGTCGGCACAATGGATTTGAAGACAGTGTGAGGACTGTTTAAAAGAGTAAATACCAAATATACAGGTGTAATATACATAGGATATATTATAGTTTCCCGTTCCATAAACCCAATTGTAGTAGGTACGCAATGACGCTTCATAATACTGCAATATTTCTACATAGCCAACAGCTAAACAAACACGGAAAATACAATTGCACGAAAAAAACATTAAAAACCAAAGAAAAAATCACTTTGTTTAAGATTTCATATGTGATGTATAGTGTTATAAACAATAAATACTTGACATGATATCGTTTGGAATAATGACGGTAAGTTAATTTTTAATTTATAGTTTGACTAGTTCTGTTTCATGTTAGAAATGAATTTACATTAACCTTAATACTTAGTTTGGAACCACTGCGTTGTTTTAGTTCAATATGGTCAGAATGTTATGTAGATGTAAAAGCACATGTTTTTATAATATAGGCAATAGGCATTAGGCATACTACCGAGCGTAGCACGTCTATAGAAACATTAAAGCGGTACTCTATCGTGGTTCATTAATTGTTTTTATTTAGTTCATCAACATTTTTTACCAAAAACTGTATATGTGTATCTCGTAGTTTTTATTTTGGGATATTTTTCAACATTAAATAAAAAGTATTTTGAATTTTGTAAAACAACAAATAAATTCATTAAGAGGACGCCACTCTGGCATTTGTTGTCTTCGTCTTCCAAACGTCCAACATTTCCCATTTTACATTCCAAATTTCAAATAAAACATTTTACTCAGTAATCTCTAAAATTAGAATGAATTTACCTCTTATAAAATTTAAAGATAAGAATATTATCTGGGTCATCTAGGAGGATTTTATTGATATTATCATTTTAAAATAAGTTATGATAATTTTAAAATGTTCAAAAAATATACACATTTGTCATTTGTCTCAAAAGAGTGTTTTCAAAAACCATAACTAGGTATAATATGTTTCAAACTTTGAACCAATATTCAAATATCATGCTCTCGTAGGTCCAATTCAAAATAATAATGTGTCTACAAATATTATAACATAATAAAATAAGTTTTCCGTTATCATAATAAAATTGATATTTAAACCATACTTCTAAATTGGGACTTACTATATAGATATATCCGTTATATATACATATATATATATATATTGTTTCCATATAACGGAACCCTTAATTTAAAAGTTGTTGTTAGTACTGATTATAAATCGATTTTACAATGCAGGCCGTTCTAATTTTAATAAACACATTAACTATGAGCTGTGGCTGATAAGTACCGGAATTATTGTCATTAAATTCATCATTGACTGAAAAAATATCCGGATAAACGTTATTTCAATATAAAGCCAATATTGAATGTACCTGCAGTTTAATTTGATCGGAAAAATCTTTATTGACTTGTCACATTATCCTTAATTCCTAAATATTTACGTTATATGATGGTACATATAACTAGGTATGTAGTATGTATGTATATATATATATATACAAAGGTATGCATAATTAATTTACACATTGAAAGTATTAGTACCTACAACCTATCTATACATTATTGTATAGGACCCATATCAAAACAAGTGATAAATTAATTAAATCGTATTAAAAAATGTCAGCTACATCAGAAATATTAATAAAATATTTTAATATCAATAAACTTTTTCGATATACAACAGCCTGCAGATTGTTTCATAACAAATATTTTCATAATATATTATATTGGCATAGTTGTTCATATATTTTAAGATTTATGCGTGGGTAAAGTACCTATAGCATTATATTTCTGTGATCGCGGGTTACGGTCAGTATTGTAAGTTGCAACGAAATAAATAATTAAACAACGTCAGTTGTAGTTGGTAGGTGCTTACAGGTATTACAGCCTATATAGGTTAAAATTATAACTACTTTGGATAATTAAGCCAGGACGAAATAATAGCTATAAAATAGTATAGAACTTTATTCTATATAATCTGTATCAGTTATTTTCACTTAGATGAACGTAGTATTTTCGGAAGCACAATAGGTAGATACATGCATGGTTGCATATATGATACATGATATTATAGTCCATGTTATACATTTTATATACATAGTGTATTATGTGGTATACTGATACACAATATTTTATTATTATACATATTATTATTTGGCTATATATAACATTGAGTACGATCTTAATGTTCTCGTTGAAATGTTACAATATACAATACGCAGGTACACAACGCTTATGACGTAAAACATGTTCTATACTTATCTATATAATACCTATATTATTATTGTAATGGGTAATTTATTTTCAAATGGAAACACTCTGGTACATAAAATTATAAGCCTATTAAAACAAAACATTTATTGAATCCGTTGTAATATTGGTATTGGAAAACTAAAAAGCGGAAAAAGCATGTAGAATTCATTCATCCATACGATTCAAACTGTTCCTACCAAACACACACACACACACAAGTCAAAACGACAACATTAGAGCAATACCTACGTGTCCAAATGTAATATTTTTTAGTTTTAGAAAAATATTCAACGTTTTTAATCAAATAACGAACAGGGGAAGTCACTCTGCTATATTATATTGACGTATATATTTCGAGTTTACCTCGTCAATAAGTAAGCTATACAGCTGTAATGAATGTATCCACTCCGCTGTTAAGTTTGAATTCAATGATAAATAATTGCACACGAAAAACAATTCTGAGCTGAGAGGTGAGTGAGCCGTTATTATTTATATGTAGATATGCATTATAATTTATTTGTAGGTACATCGGTACTATCGTAATTAATTAATATTATTCGGTTACTTTTTAGTACTAGAGTGATATTGCGTAATAATTTATGAATGTTGAACTATTTTTCGCCAAAAACGACACCTAATATAATATATATAATACGCATAATAAAAATATATTTAATAAACATTCCAAGTTTTTAAAATTTCAAACAACTAGATTCAATGATCTACCACAAACAGCCTTCAAAGTTAAAAATTGAAATATTTTTACTGATCTAAAAGGCAATGATAAATTCATTGCTCCAATAAGTAGAACTAAAACATGAGTTACTTTTATTAAGTTAGAAGCTGATTTAGTTTTCATTTGAGTACTGGAGTATATATGTATAAAATATAAAACAAAACATTTAAAAAAATAAATACCTTGAAGTACCGTATCACTACTTGAAGCCTTTAATATGCCATCATTTGAAAAAAAAACATATCACCCAGTATTATAAAATTGGTTTTTTCGTAATTGTTAATTTAGTGTTTCAAATTCCAATATGCTTCTATAAACAATAAACTAATGAAGTAGGTATTTAATATATTATTTTTTAATTCTTTTGAATATTGGACTTTTAATTAATGTTTTACAATCTGTAAAGCCATTTTTATTTTCATTAAATTCATAAACTTTTTTGCTTGAATTCAATTCATTGTAAATTATTATTATAATTTATAATATAGTTTACAATAAATATGCGATAAATATATTTGTAATTAAAATTTAAAATCATTGATTTAGAAATGGAATTTGTTACAATCAACAAACTGGGAACTGCATATTAAATATTTATAATACCTACACGTTAATTAATTTTCAATTTATATGTATATGCATAATACAATATACGTATCTATTAAAATATTGGTACTATATAGTATATAGTATCTAAAAATTAGAATAATTGTATATTATAACTTACGTCATAAACCTACTTTTACTTACCGTTGTTGTATACATTATTATTTAAATTATGTTTTAATTCTTGAAACTAATTTTCTTTTTTATCTTTAAATTAAAGTATTCATACAATTAATTAAAATACATATAGGTATAAAGTTTTTTTAAATACATTTTTTTGAGTAGTTATTCAAAATAAAGTATTGAAGACCTACATGATTATCTGAAATCGTGTGTATATAGTACAGACGCATAAAACTGCAGATCTTACATTTTAAAAATGATTTTAATAAAAACGGTTGCTGCTTATAATCTAAAAGCCATAAGTGTGACGTACTTCAATAGTTCAATAGACAATAACAAAATAACCTAAATGATTTTGGGAGGAGTTTTCTCATCTCCCTTTATGCATTGGGCCTCATGTATAATACATATTTGTAATGACAATTCAAAAAATTGTAGCTCTAATTATTATTTAAGTATACACAGATCAGTAAGTTTAGCAACAAAGTGAAAAATCACTCTTCCCAATTTCACTTTCCTGTTTTTGGTGCCTTTTATTTAATGGTTCGATCGTTTATAAAGTCAGCGCTGATTGTATATAGGTATAAAATAGTAGATTATATGATATTATTAAAAATTATGACAATAGTATAATATGCACAGTGTATTTAAAATACAATTATAATTTTTATTTAAATAGCGCCTTTGTTTCATTGTTTTTTAAAATGAAATCAAAGTATGATTCGGAAATTCTAAATACAATAAATTATAATAAGCTATATTATATTATACGCTGTTTATAAATGAGTTAAAAATAAAATATCCTTCCATCATAGTATAACCAACAAAATCGGTACCACAACAAAAGAATAATAAGACTAGGGGTGAACTATCGAAATATAATATTGTACACATTGTACAGAGTGCTGAATGATACATTTAATGGATATCTGCAATATTCATTTTTTTCGTTGTGAATTTGTGTGGTTTTTTTTACTTTTTTTAAACGGCAATCAATATTGATTTCATATTGTTCTAAAGCTGAATACTTTTCTAAAAATGTTGAGGTATGATTATCGAATATTAATCGAAATCTAGATGGGTAAAGGGTACTTAAGAATTATCGTGACTTCCAAGAATACATTTTAGTCATTTTTAGTTGATAATAGCTGAATTATTTGTCACAGTCCAGCTTTTTTAATTTTCACCGAAAGGTTGAAGAGATTATTTTTCTAAGATTAATTGTTGGTATCATTATTTTTAGGTTTTGATTAATGTAATTTTTTTATATTTTTGTGTCTAAAGACACATTAGTGTTTATTATGTAGTAATATTATCTATCTTAGTTATATACTTATAAACAACTAGCGTATTGAAGTCGGGTTTCTATGTATTATTTATATTAAATATTATACTACATAATACAAATAAACTATAATATTTGCCGTTAAATAAGTACTTATAAATATTGTTAGCCAATTTTAATAAAAAGTCATGGGGTGGGTATACGATACCCAAATCTCCCTCCCCCCGTAATTACACAGATTGATCGTATACAAATAATATTTATCATTGAATTCATATTAATTATTACATTCATATTCCATTACTACAGTGACTTACTTATGTCACGCCTACTAACTGCACTACAGCAGAGCAACTTCTCCGGTTATTTAAAAAAAACCGTCAGACATTTAAAATACTCTATTCGTTTTACTAATGATGAGTAGATCTGGATTAGAACGCCTCATCGATCGAAATTAGGTTTTCATATTGTCATGTAGGTACGCACCTTTTGGTGATATACCTCTATCGACACTTAAGTTACCAGAAGACCATACATTAACCCGTTACAAATCAGATTCAAGGAGTACGGCCGAATCGAGTGACTACTCAAACAAAACATAATATAATTTTATTGGTCGGAAACACTTTTATTAAAATATAAATGATTTAGATAAAATACACTTAGCCCGTACTACGGTCGTCACTTTTCGCGTACGATCGTCGTACACTTGTACCTATCTCTCCGTCGAATATCTCAACGACTACGGGCGTGTGGCAATGTTATATAGTACATTCATGGACGTAAATAGGGTCCACAAGTGCATAGGGCTTGAGCCCAAAAGGTTTCAAGAACAAAAATATTGGGAGATTTGTCTTCTGCCCACTACTTATCTACACTCAATTGTATCTATGATACTGATACAATTCAAAACTATCACAAATTAAATGTAAATTAATTTTTTGAATTATTGTAAAAAATCAAAGCGTTTTATACAGTTATAGCAGTCATAATATACCTATATATTACATATTATTATATTATTATACATAGTTAATTTCATTATAATTGCATCCTTCTTTCCTTCTCAGAAAACTTGTTTAAAATTTGTTCATTATCAATTTGGTTAGATAACTCTCTTTCTATGTTTATAATACTTAAATCGATAAACCTATCTTATTCCATATTGGACCTTAGATAAGTATTTATTCTTCTCATAGAGGAAAAAGATCTCTCACACGTTGCCAAGCTTATAGGTATAGCTAATGCGTCAGTAATACGGTATATATGTTCATGTTCCATACATTATTAGTTATTACTTATTACGTTATCACTTATCAATGATATTTATAATTATATTTATAGCTATTACCATTGGTTATAATTTATATAATTAATATTATAAATATAGATTTTAAATTATGTAATTCATTATTACAAAGATAACCTAAATGATTAAATATTTTAGGGAGGGCTTAAGATGACTCAGGGCTAAGCCCCCCTATTTACGTCCATGAGTACATTTTATATCACCTCAGCACATCTCGCTTCACAGGCATGACCTATCTTAATATTTTAGTCGCTAAAAACTATTACCACCTACAATACATACCTATATTAAAAATAATATTATGTCGACGACTGCCCCTACAATATCTATAAGACAATATCTTCATCCTGGTCCCTCAATAAATGAAAATCATGGTCCAGCTTCATATAAACGTACTAACGCGTTTCTATGTTCCACAGACTTTACTCGTGGCGTTGGCTTGTCTTGTGCATTACGACCTGTTGGGCTTGTTTCTGGATCATCCGTACGCTCGGCGCATCGTGTACATACACAACGGACAACACCAACATCAACCCAGGTTTGAGTTCGACCACATATGGATACCGAGACCGGGTACGGACCCGAGTACGTTACATTTTCTACCTCTGCCGGTAACCGTGCAAGACGCCGGTGGTAAAGGCGAGGGCTACTGGACGGACTCGGACGACGATGTCGATGATGCCCATAATAACCGTAGTACCATCGATGGTAGACTTTCCCGCCAAGATGCCCACCAACAAGAGCCTGCACCGGATACCGTGGTTGACGGTGTTCCAATCACCACCACGACCGAGGTACCGGATGACCGCGACGACAATAACAACCAGAACTACAACAGCGACGACGACGATTACGTTGCTCCAGGACATGAGTGGGACGATGACGTTTTTTGACGTGTTTCCTACGCCGGTTCGACGAATTTTAGCGACGTTCTTATATCGCTATAATTTATTAAAATCGATCTAGTAACTATTTATATTACATATAGGTTAAGTGTGTAAAATATTATTAAATTTGTTTTTGTGAAGCACCTAAACAACTTCTTCGTGTTTCGTATCGTGTCGTGTCGTGTCATGGGAACATTTAAATTGATATAAATGAAAATGGATGATTAATATAATATAATTAAAATGTATTTATCATTAAAATTGCAATGTGTATATAGTATAATAGTAGATGTAGATAATAACATTGTATATACCTACTTAGTAGCGAAAAATATCAAGTCCCTGCGAATAATATTTGTTTACAACAAATAATAACAATCGTAGACACAATTATAGCAATTTTGTAAAAATGTTAGCTTTAAAATGTATTTTTTTTACTGAGAATTAATAAAGAGTCAACCTTATAGATGCATACCCAAATTATTCATTTAATTCTCAAATGATTTTCAAAAACCATAAAAATAAATAGTTAGTTTTAAATACATTTTTTCACCATCAATTTTTTTTTTTTTTTTAAAGTTAACAAATTGGCTATTTTTAACTTTCTCTAACGAATCTAATCATACCTTTAATTATCACTAGAGTTAGGATTTTGGTGACTTTTGCACTTTTTTTCTCTAGTGTTATACAATTCTAACCAAAAACTAAATTTGTTTCGTAATATAACAATTTGAAATATGTAATTTTTATTTTGCATTTTTTGTGTTAAATGCATTTTATTACATTTTTAAGGTCATTTTTACGTAATATTACGTTCATTTTGTGTATATATACTAATTTTTGTTTATTTTAAGATTTTTTAATATGTGTTGTAAAGGTAATCCCAATTAGTACCTATATAATATAGGCAATTACCTACTCCAGTCCATTGATAATGAAAAAGTAGTATAATTAATTGTTGATTTATTCGATAAGATTAAATATCGAACGAACCCATAACTATTTAGGTATACAATAGTAGCTTTAGTAGTGAATTCGACACGTACCTATGTGGTTCTACCGATCTTAACTGTACAAAATGCCAAACATTAAGTCAACAATAGGAAGCCGTTTACGTAGTTTTGTGAGCGAGTTGGGTGCCGATATTTTTTCTACGGACAGTATGGTGCTTTTTTGTAAAGTTTGTCAGTTTACAAAAGTTTGCAGTTGCCTCCGAAAAGAAATTTACAATTCAACAACACATCAGTCGAGATATGCATGCTCGTGGAATTCAACGAAAACTGAATGAAGTGAAACAAAATAATCAAGTACTATTATCTAATTTAACAAATAATAGTGATCAATCGTCATTTAATTTAGAGCTTTGTGAAACATTTTTAGCATTTAATATTCCACTTAATTAACACAAATTGTAGACATTTTTTAGAAAAAAATATAAAATTTAAGGTCCCAGACGAGTCTACATTGAGTAAAAATTATGTTGAAAAATGCTATTTAAATACATTATGAAATATTAGACACTATGTAGGCGATAAAAAAATTTGGGTTAGTATAGATGAAACGACGGATGCTGAAGACCGTTCTGTAGTAAATATCGTTACTTATATTCCCTGGAAGTAGAAAATTCAGGAAAAATATTTTTGTTACATTCTGATGTCATGGAAAAAACAAATCATTCAACCATTGCAAAAGTTCGATAAAGCCATGTTTACATTATGGCCTGAAGGAATAGGTAAACACGATAATGTCCTCATTTTTGTATCTGATGCTGCCCTATATATGGTGAAAGCAGGAAAAGCCATTTGCACTCTGTATTCAAAAATGGTGCATGTTACCTGTGTGGAGCATGCAATTTATTGAGTTGCGGAAGAAATAAGATCAAATTTTCAAGATGTCAATAAATTTATAAATAAAATATTTTTAAAATCACCAAATCGTACACAAATGTTTAAAACTCTTGCTCCAGGAATTCCATTTCCACTCGAACCCGTAATCATGCGATGGAGAACCTGGCTAAATGCTGTAAATTACTATTGTGAGAATTTTTCTTATGTAAAAAAAGTTTTGCTTGAATTAAATCATGATGATTCGAATTCTATAAAAGAAGCAAAAGAACTGATGTCTAAATCAAGTTTAGAGGCTAATCTAATTGATATAAAATCTAGTTTTTGTTTCAGAAATAAAAAATCTGGAGGGTTCTGGAACCTTATTATCAGAATCTATTAATAAAACATAACAAATTGAGACTACATTGTCCCTTGCTCCTAATGTAGTTGGAGAAACAATATCAATCAAACTGAAAAATGTTTTGATGAAAAATAATGGGTTCAAAGTTTTAAAAAATATATCTGCTATTCTGGACGGTGAAAATACAAGTAGAGATGGTATTCGGGAAGACCTAACTTTAAATGATATGGTTCATTTCAAATATGCCCCTGTTCATTCTGTGGACGTTGAACGAAGTTTTTCTTCATATAATAACATTTTATCTGACCGTCGTGGTAGCTTCCTGTTTGAAAATCTTAAGAATCATCTAATTGTGCAATGCAATAATATGTGTACAGGTGAAAAAAAAATATGATATATTTTTCATTAAATTTTAATTTATGCTTTTATTGATTTTTTGAGAATTATTATATTAGGAAGCGGTTACATTCACAAGTCTATTATGTTTATAATTAATAATATTTATTTTTAAAATAAATTATTTTCGCTCATCTAAGTACATTTTTTGAATTTTTTAGGTCATTTTTGCATTTTTTTTAGTGAATTTTTGTGTATTTTTTAGGTCATTAAAATCTTAGCTCTGATTATCACTGAAGCCTAAAGAGACTATCTATATGTATAGTAATAGGCTCATTAGTTCCTCACTAGTTGTTTGGCTGGGTTACTCCCGCACCCCTCTTCTTATAATGCTTTTTCTGCCTAAATTAGTAATATTTGCTTCAAAACAATAATCATATTTATTTATTTATCAATTACACCTTTAAAATTAGTTTTAGTATTTAACGTTATAAACTATAGTATAATAGTAGTAAATAAGTAATTTTTACACATAACACACTTACAGCCAACAGGGTACGGGCACAATCGTCGTTGGTATATTTCTCTATGGACTGAAGATGGAGCCCGGTGCCATTGTAATTTTTTCAAAAAAATACATTCTACGCCCTACGGAAATAATGATCTTGTCTTGTAGATTAAACCAAATTTGATCATTTTTTTTTATAAAACTAATAGGTATAAGGTTTAAGGGTTCTATTCAACAGGCCCAGTCGAACACCATTTTTCAATATTATTCGTTAAGTCTATATAAGCTTAATAGATTTAATAGTTATTCATAGGTACACAATAAAATAATCGAATGACTCGCGATCCGTATAGGACTCGGAAGTTCAAAAATTAAAAACTCAAAATATACGCTTAAAATCACTAAAATATGCATTTAATATGTTTTCTTTACGTTACGTTCATTAAATTTTTGGTAGAAATCATAATTAAAAGAAAGGGAAAAAGATACACTATTTATAATAATATGTTGTATTTATATTACCTTAGAAATACAACTAATAAAACCTTGCAAACAATGGACTCTCAGAGCTTAGAACGTACTTGTAACGTGATATCACGAACGGTGACATTATACAATTTTTGAAGTGGGAAAATTAAAAATAAATACCTAATTAAATTATATCATAAATAATTTTACTTACTGATTGCTTCCATGATAGTGGTATTGTGATTTTTGAGAGACTATAACGATTTTTATATATAGGTAGGTAATTTTAATTAAATTTAACCCTAAGTATAATTATAATTTATAACCATCTATCGGGTCATAAATTACATAATATTAAAGTACGGCCTATTTTAAACAGGTTTTTATTTATATTGGCGACGTTTTTGTTATTAAGTTTTCATAAAGGCATTATGTTTTAACAGATATATTTTGAAAAATATTCCGATAAAAGGCCAACATTTTCATGATACATCAAAAAAAAACCTAATTATGCAGTAAAGTGAAATTTTAGCATATAAGATATAAGCATATATAAAAAAACTCAAAATTTCATTTTTTAACTCGATAGGTTGTGATTCAAACTATAGCTAATCCAGGAACTGTTTGAATGTTTGATGTACTCAGTAAAATTATGCAAATTCGGGACCTAGAGATTACATAGTTTTTTCTGCCCATTTTTACATCTTGCGTCTTTTGTCCATGCCATAATTGATATAAGCGGGAAATACTTATTGTTCAGTCGGGCCGGTTACAAATATGTGCTTACATTATTCATTTACAAAAGTAATTTTACTAAAAACCTAATTCATATTTCCTATTTTATTATGAAAATATTGTCTAGGAACCTATTATTATTTTAAGAACCAGAAGTCTATTTAATTATTTTTGGAGTATATAGGAAGTATTTTTATTTTTTATACATATCACCTATCTACTTATATAAGTTATAGTTAACCTGTGTTTGGCTGTTCATCATACATTTCTAAAATAGTTACAATGACACATATTACCCTAATATTCGGAAAAATTTCTGGTATTGATAAATGGTAACATACAGTGATCCAACAAGTATGCTCACCACTTTTTTTCTTTAATAATGAAGTTTTACAAAATCTGATTTTTGGTCTCTTAAAATATACTCAAAGACCATATTTTCATATTCTTGAAATGTTTTGTACCACTTAGGGAGTGTCCTGTGGCGATACAAACTTTGGTTTTTCAAATGGGAACCCCACTTTTTTACCGTAAATTATTTAGCTGATAATTTTTTTGAGAATTTTGAAGCATTGAAATCAAAATTTGAACGAGTAGTTTTCTAGTTATTACACATTTTGTGCTAAGGATAAAATCAGATTTTGAAAAACTTCATTATTAAAAAAAAAGAGGGGGGAAGGGTTGAGCATACTTGTTGGATCACCCTGCATACATATAACATTATAAATGTCAAAATATTGTGATTTAAAGTAATTTAGTTGAAAAATTATTCACAAATATTCAATAATAGTATAATTAGCAACATACAGTTCTAAATCATATACTATATTAATTAAAAGTAAAAATAAATACGTCAGATCATTTTGACAGGTATGCGCATAAGCATATAACGTAATAACATATCCCTGACAAAAATAAATAACAAATATAATGTAGGTATCGAATGAGTCTAAACACTGTATTTTATAATAATATGGTCTTTTTAATCATACATTATACATTCATGTTTAAGATATATCACAATAAAATAGATTAGATTGGGTCTTATAAATGTAGTTGTAAAAATAATAATTATGTTAATGTCAACAGAAACCAGAAACATTCTTTTCATTTTGGGTATTCATACAATTACATAGGTATTACATTTTATATACGAACAAATTAAGAAACAATATAACTTAACTGAACTAAAACAGTGTTGGTTAGAACTTTTGCATTATTGTTACTACCCTTTGCGTTCAAGAATATACACACATAAATAATTACAAGACACACACTCACCCACTCATGTACACATTAAACATTGTTCTTAATGAGAAAAAAAATTATATTCTTTAAAATCTTTGTTCGACATAATACTATCAATCACTATTTTATTATTATTATTTTTCTGTTTTATGGTTTTTATTATTTATAAATATATAGGTTATATTATATCAAAATATGATGGACTTGGAGCACGCGGAGTCAAAGCAGGATAATAGTTTAATGTTTGTAGCACAATAGCGGTTTACAGAGCATTTCACAGTTACCAGCCATTGTAGCTAAGTGTGTGCAACCTATAATAATATAGTTGAAATGGCAATTGGGCATAAAGGACTTGGGGTAAATGCAACTCGATAATATCAATCAAAATATTTTCATTGTTGTATATTCGAGGGTTTTTTTAAACACTTAAATAATTATATTCATATTATTGGCTATATCATATTATCTCATAAAACATCATACTTCAATTTTAAAAACAATTTTACATAAATAAAACGAGAATCTTAATTACATTTATATTGTAAAAAGAGCAGCCCCGACTAAGTTACAAAAACTATCCTTGATCAGTTATAAAATTTGAAAAAAAAAATAATAAAACAAAACAAAACAAAGTTACAATGCACCGTATGTAAATTAAAAATAACGACAAAACGCTTAAGTCTATTTAAATTTTCTTACAATTGAGTAAAATTAAAATAAATGATATATATTTCTGACCATCAACAATATGGAATCAGAAAAAATAATGTAAAACATAATATTTAAACTCTGGAATAGCTATATATATTATATATATAAATATTAGCTGATTCATTCGGAACGTTTATAAAATATACAATAACAGTTTTATTTATGATCAGTTTACATATTATACAAACATTAATTTAACTCATTCTATATAGAAAAGTTAAGGTAGAATTCAAAACATTTATGTTATGATTTAGTAGTAGTTTTTACTTCAAGACATGTAAATGTATCAATAAAAAAGTGGGAGAATAAATCTAAAAAAAAACAAAAAAACACAAAATGATATGTACAGTTTTTTGTATTATGTAATACGTCAACTATATAATTATGTAGTATAAATAAAGTTATAAAAAAAAAAATGGTTTTAATTTAATTTTTAATTTTATCTCAACTGAACATTGCTTGACTTTATACATTTTATAAAGCAGTAAAGAAGAAATTAAACAATTTGTGTGAAAACATCTTACAGTCAAGAATAACATTTTAAGTGATTTTTGTTAGTTCAAGTATCATTTTCATAATCAATAAATAAAAATAAAATCGTTCGAAAACTGACAATCAACAGTTGTATCAGCCTTTGTACACAACCTAATTGCAAAATATTGAAAGCATATTATGGATGATATAATTATGACGTTATTTATTTGTTTTCATGCACATTATTTTAAGTTAATTTACAGGTATATATTTTAATATTGGTATGGTAAATGGTAATATAGTATATATAGTTCGGGATTGACGTTTCGACATCTCGTAGTCGTTAAAAAATTTAAATAATTATTAATCATAATATAATAATTACTATTCATAATATATATAGCTGCGCAACAATTATTTGTTACATTATCTTATATTCCCCTTTTCAGTTTTTGTTCGAAGTCTGTATAAACGGTTTAATCTCCGGGATGCTCAGGGCACGATCTGTTCACTTCAAACCACCGGTCTATACATCTGTAATAAAAAACAAAAAATACAGAAATAATTAATAATTATTTAAACAAGCGGCACTATACGGTATAATTGGAGCCGACCGTTTGGTGTTTAGAACTTATAGATAATATAACAGATGCCGCATAGAATCTATTTTTAAATAAATCGTAATTCTTATTCGAATTAGATATACAATCTTTAAGACTAGTACAAACTATTATATAATTCAGCGTTTCCCAAACTTTTCCTCCGCCGGACTCCTTGAATGATGATGGATCCCGTAATAAACATAACCTAAACTAACAATAATAAATAATAATAATATTCAAGGACCTTTAGGGGACCACAGTTTGAGAAACGCTGTTACAATTACTTACATTCAAATAAGAATTTGTTTGTGTTTACATAGTTTCTACTGTTCTATTCTTATAAAAAAAAAAAAATAATAAAACCCTGTCCGGGTAGGCTACAGGCCAGCAGCCGGAGTTACGTTAACCCCACGTTACATACTCATTGACCATTCCCGAGATACCAAATTTATCATTAATTCGTGCGATAAATGTGCCTCTGTAACCGACCGAAAATGAAGTTCTCTCTCGTATCGATTGAATCGTATACTTAAACCGTCACCCAACTTCCAAACATGCCTTCTAAGCATATTGTATAAAAATAAGAAACCTTGAAACTCCCAACACGTAACACTGTATACACGAACGTTCGGCATATTATCTTCTCCGGTTAAAATTACAACGCGTTAAGTCCATAATGACCGAGTACTTCCTAGGTCAATAATCTTTTAATATAATTCACACTACAGTATTGGGTAGGTACACAAAACAATCATAAAAACAACGGAGAGGACATCATCGCCATGTGTTATAAATTACGACCAATACATACATAAAAAACAAAATTAAAATTCGTACAATGCTGTCTCTTATATTATATCAAAATTGTGTGAACCTGCAACTTTCAACAGACATTACAATGATAAAAAAAAATGTGTTTACAAAATGTGTGGGGCAATGGCGAGAACAACACATGGACGCTTTTCAAGTGTCACATATATTATTTGGTAAACTGAGTTTGATGAAATTATTTTTTATTATATTGTTATGATTTTTACTACATAGACTATGTAATAATTATGTTGTAATTTAATTTCGTTTGTCAACAAAATATCTGTGTGCGTCTGTTTTGAAAGGTGCAGTGGAGTGTTGAGGTAGATGACTATGATGAAAAGCGGGCAGTCACACACATTTTAGAAATATTATTCTCACAATATTATATATTTCTGCAAATTTTGTTTTATTTTTTTACCATAAAGACCATACTGACCAAAAAGAATCAATCATAATATTTACTTGACAAGTAGATACAAAAGGTTCGACTTCGAGATCCCTATCATATGGTATCTAACAAACGGCCATTTTTATTTGAAGAATCTCCTCAGCATAATAATACAAAGGGGTCCTTATAACGAAGTATTAGTCGTATATTTTGATGTTCGTATTTATTCTTCTCGTGTTCGTTCTAATTATTCTTATGGTCGACTCATTTAGGCCAAAGTCTAAAAATAGCACAAACACTAAACGCGGTAAGACAGTAATACACTTTTCACTCTCGTCTCTTGACATTTTAATTCACCAAGTCAATTAAAGCACAACAATAACGATCAACAATCAAAATTTGAGATTATATTATAATAATATCAAAATTAGTTCATCATTATGGAAACTGTATTAAATTTTTTAAAGCTGTCCAATTTTAACAAGCTTTTAGTTTTAACTAGTATTTATTAATATTATAGATATATTTTGTAAAAGGTGGTTATGTCACTTATGTCACCATAACTAGAGAGAAGATAATCAGTATATTATGTATTTCATATGTTATATATAATATAAAGTATTAATTGTATTAAAAATACGGCAAACATGAACACAAAATATTATAGAGTATAATTCAAATACATATTTATAATTAAGTAAATAGTTATTTAATCTAAACAGTTGATCAGTGATCATTATAATACGAGTATACTTTAACAGTTAAAATCCTGTCCAACAATTTATTATAGTTGAATACCTACAAATTAGTATATGTAATACCAATTCGTTTGTCTAAATGCCTATTTCTTCAATTATATAGGTAAACTGCACAATGAAAATATTACAGATACCTGAATTATATTAAAATGATATGAGAGCCTTTGTAAATTTTGCTGTATGAATAAAAACTTCCAATATTTAACGTAATAAACTATAAGAAGTCTTAATTTTATTGAAGTGAACTTTTTTAGGCTCGGTAGAGTAAAATGGATTTATGGGTTCGGCCGATGAGACCAAAAAGTGTTACGGGCGTGGCTTACTCTATGGATACAAAGAAACGATCGGGTTTTGCCGGCCAGTCACCGTGTCCATTCTAGCACATTAAATATCCTAATACCAGCGAACTGGGTGAACTGACTGGCAGGCAAAAAATGGTACTACCTGTTTACCACAATCTAATTCTATACAATATTATATTAAAATAAAATAGGCCGGCAAAATCCTAAACCTTATACTACTAAACAAAAACTGTTTAAAACAACAGCATTAAAAGCGGTGTAACAACATCTCGCAGTGATGTAGGCTATCTTTACGACTATAAACAATAATCTAAATATCAATATATCTTACCTACCCTTAGATCACATAGTTTATGTACTAAGATCTTACCCTACTATCCCGCACACGAGTAATCGAATAATCAAAAAGCGCCTGTTGTTAAGCTTTCCATATACACTCGTTGCTTGTCTAATGAGGTATATGGGCAAAATCCGGTCGTTTGTTTGGACAATAAGGTTTCTATGGTAATAAATAATAATACATTTATTTGTGTAATAATAATAATAAATTAATTTCAATTAAAAATTTCGATTTTTTATTTTTCCATTACAAATTTAATATTTGACCGTGACGAATCTTATTTTCGTACCTTCTGTAAAGAAGTTTCGAAGTTTCACTTATCCACGAGTGCTACCTTATAGCTAGGTAGTCAATTCAATTTTAAAATAACAAGAATTCCGAGACATTGTATACTTTATAAATAAGTGACTACGGGTAATATCAATAGTCAGCTAAATGAGATAACCACAAGCTATTCAAAACATGTAAATGTTTATAATAAGTTTTATTATAGTTTACCTTTATTATTTAAATTTGGTTAAGAAGACGCTTTACTAACATTTGTTGTCTTCGTCCTACAAGTGCATAACATAGCAAATGTAAACTCAGCAGATCAGGTTTAGCTCCGGTAGTTTAGAAATGAGAGTAAATGGACTATTATGAAACTCGATGGTAAGAATATTAAATGTGTTTTACGTGGGTTGTTTACCATACTTCAGAGTCTTAAGCGATTTATGAGCATTTTTAATTTACACTATATTATATACGCAATACTTGCTACAAAATTGAACTAACGCAAAACACCCACATACAAACACAGATAATGTTCTTAACATCAAATGTCATTATAGTTCGATTCACTCTTATTTTTAAATTAAAGGAGCTAAACGTGATCTGAGTAGATTAGGGTTCTCTGAAGAGGATGTCAGCACACTGTTCGTTTCTCTCTCTAGTTCACGCACAACATGGATGAACGCGAATCATTTTATTCTGTTTTTGGGTTATCTTAAAATAAAATTACCCGTTATAAAAAACGATAGAGAATACAATTATTGAGGGTAGGCATATCAATTTTTCCAAATATTGTCTCAAAACAGATTACACGTCATTTAAATTTACAAAAATGTTTTTTTTATTTTGAAAGTTTAATACAAAGTCAAATAGTAGTACAAAGTACAATCAATATTTCTACCCTCAAAAACATTATCCTCCATGATTTCTGTAATAGGCGACTTTACTCCAAGATAATTTAAAAATTATAAGAAAAAAAATTTTAGGTAAAAGCGTTTTCATCTTTATTGCATGTGTACCTGAAAGAGAAAAATAATATTGAGCTGACATCCTGTTAATGATCAAAAGCTAAACTGTATTATTTTATAGATACTAATATACTACAGCTTTTTGTACTATATGATCAACAATCATTACAACTACTTAACTTTACAACATTTACTATTATTCTACGATAAACGTTATGAAAGTGTCTAACAATAATATTTATATATACCTAATATCTAATTTATATGGTAGCCATACTCTAAGTGGCCCAGACGAATTCTGTATTTCAATTTTTATTCTTCGACGTCGTTATGTACCAAATTTAACCAAGTTATACTGACTTGGGTTATAATTACAGACTACAGTGTTACACGAACAATTATTTCTATAGTATAATTTTAAAATATAAACATTGAGATGATTACATATTATGAGTTTAATGACCCGGAAACTAAATCCCTGTTTTGTTTAACCTTGATTTAGGAATGTCAAAAATCTAAATGAGAGGAACTTGTCTCGCTTAACCAGATTTTGGAGCATCCGTTGAGTTTTAGCCAAAACCAAAAATATCCTTAAATTTCAAGAGTTTAAGAGTAGGAAAGAGTAGTGTTAGGGCATCGGTCCAAAAAAAAATAATTGTTTTTGTTTACTTTACTATTTGTTTTTAGATGTATTTCAAACATCTGTAATACATCTTTTATATTTTATCGCGGTAATATTATTAAGTCATTCATTTTTTAAATATTATTCAATTATCAATGAAACATTTGCAGAGTAACAAATAAAGTAGGGAAACAATTTTTAAGACTACACGAAGTCAATTAAAACTAACTAATAAAATAAGACAATGGCGTAGCCAGGGTGGCTGAAGAGGCTGCAGCCCTCCCCAAAAATTCAGTAAAATTTGAAAATGCTTTCAGTATTTTATGAACGTAATACGTAAAATGTAACCATGTACAAAATTTCGTAATTTGTATAAGGTTGCTGCAAAAATCTAAACATATCTAGGACATAAGCATACCGAATTTACGAGGGATGATTAGATAAACAATGATTATATTCAATAGCTATATGTAATAATCGCATACTATATATATTAAATTATTGACCATTGCCACCCCAACCAAAAAAAAGCGAAATTCAGACTATGCGACAAAAATAAGGACACATTAAGGGGATCGGTGGCGGCCGGTTCTTAAGGAGTTCGAAATAGGGATATATACATGCGAGTTTTGTAAATTAGTGTGCAGTAAGTGATCATTAGCGTGTGCTGCTGTATAAAAGAAATAGCAGAGCGCTCCAGCAAGCGCACGTAATAGTCACCGACCACACGTACAGGAATTAGTGTAGCTGTATAATATAGATTTAAAGATATCACCAAATAAATATTCAGCAAATCCAGCAACTTTGGTCATAAGTAATTTTTGGGAAGTTCTTTAAATGAAATCGATACCCCCCACTAAGTAAAAATGAGTTTTTAACTAAATTAAGTTAACAGGTATCTGGCCGTTGTTAATGTATAGGTAATCGTAGTTCGCGGTAAATAATGTTCTGCAGTCGTTTTTTTATATAATTCTAAATGCTCGTAAAAAAAAAACAATTATATAATAATAATAATAACAAAAATGTTTTAATATATTTAAAGCGGTTCAAAAAACGTAGTAGAATATCGATTTTGATTGTACTTACGTTTTATGGTATATGCAAAGACAAGGAAGTCTAGCTATGGTATCACCTTGTATCAGTTCTTCCAAACAAATGACACATTCACCTTTATCGTCTTTTAAAACATCTTCTGCAAAATAACATGACAATTATTATATCATTTAACAGACTGTAAACAGTATCAAAGAAAGGGTTAAACCGCATATACGTCATATTTAATTACAATAAAATTATTAATAAATATGCACTGTGTATTTGGTAATATTTCATTTAAGAAATAACAGTTTAAACTAATACACATTTTATAACTTACCATTGTAAATCAGTCTAGGTTTGGTCAAGCACATAACTAGATGTACTTCTATCTCGTCTGGTAAGACAAACTTTGAACATACTGGACACTTAATTCCTAAACAAACAATTGATAGATTAAATATACGATAAAACGGTATGTGTGTATAATTAATTACTTATTATTGTATAATTTAAGTATAAAATTTTTTTTTAATCGTAACACACGATCAATAAAGTTTGTTTGTACAATAGATTTGTATAACTTTATTAGTATTAAGATTTATACATAACCTATTATAGTTCAATTAGATAGGAAAAAATAATTCTGAAGGGAACTCAATTAAATAACATGTTTTTAGGGTGTTTTAGAAATAGACAGCAGTCTTCAAAATAAATGACAAGTAATTTTTTTTTTGAATTGTCACCTAGCTAGATAATGCATATAATAGATATTAGGTAACTATTAATAATATGTTTTAATTACTTCACAAAAGGACTGATCAAATGTTTTGTAACAATTTCTAAACATTCATTTCATAATGGTACCTAGTAAAAATAATTATAAAACAATTTTTGTAAGATACTAAACACACAATATAATTGTTGAAAACAATTTTAATCCAGCAGTACTTGATAATGCGGCCTTTAAAGTACCTTATACCAGTAATGCCTAATGTCTACGTATCATATTTAACATTAAATTATTCCAATTGTTACCAATAATGTACAGACATTTACAATGATTTATTGAACATTACCTAAACGTTTATGATTTAAGAATCAAATACACAATTTTTTTATTGAACAGATGAACATAAAAATATTTCTTTAAAAACAATATATTATTATACTTGAATAATTATTTAAATTATCTTGTAGATAAAATTATAATTTTTCTTTAATTTTCTAGAGTATCATGATTTTCAATGACTTCAATATATAATATAATTTATTATTGTATAATAATTGGAACGAATAAAAATCCTTGTTTAAAAATGTTTAAAAACTATAATACATAAATACTAAACATAAACAAATATTGATTATTTTGTGTAATTTTATGAAAATCAACTAGGCAAATCAGACATTATTTTCAAACAAAAATACTTAAAAATGAGTTTTATAACACTACGACAGATGGTGAACTAAAAAATATCGTAAAATATGTATGAATGCTGCAATATATTATAATATCTGAGAAACTTTTCAGTAACCTATATAAAATAAGACTTAAATAAGAACTATCGGTGCGGGTTTGCTCAAAAACAGTCAGATAAATCGTAAACTGTATAGGCCAACCCAATCTATAATCCAACGTCACCGTAATTTTTTTTAAGAAAATAAAATGTATGATAAAAATAAAATTTTAAAAAGTTATTAATATTAAAAAAATATATTCCAAATATTAAAGCAGACATTTATTTGAGCATGAACCTAAAATATTACATTATAATATATATCTTGTCTTGGATCCTCCATGTCCAACCAAAAACCATCATAATAATATACAAACTGAAAATTATTCAACTAAAAATGTATTAATTGGTTGACTGGGGGTTTCAAAAATTTTAACCACAAAATATAGGAATATATTTGATTTCAGAGACATGTCTTGATAAGCTACAGCCTAAAGTTAAGAATGTGAACCGTGTACGAAGCGCGTGTTACTAATCAGTAATCGCAATATAGATTAACATGCATACTTTATTACTTTATGGACCTAGTTGCTGTAATATAGTATCGCCAATACTACTGTTGGAGGACAAGGGGAAAAGACGATTCTGAGTATATTATAAACAACAAAGAAATCATATTTTGACTAGCGTATTGCCAACTAGACGTCCTTGTTTCCCCTGTGCCAGCGCGAAGTGATCATTCGTGAACATATAATGGCTTATCGATTCGGCTCTCAAGGCCTCGACGACTAATAAAAATTAATTCGATATCGCTAAATAGGAAATATATAGGTACATGTACAATCATATCATAATAACAACATAGTGACGTTTTTAACAGTATAATAACAACGTTCAAAAATTACTGTGGACGAAAATACGAACTTATAATATTGTTTAAAGTGCACAACCAACAGTCCGTTGACGTTAGTGAATGGCTATGAACTTATTTACATTAGAAAATAATATAATTTCTACTTCAAAAATGCAATACCACCTGTACCTATCATACTAACACGAAAACACTACATAATATTTATTGACTATTACAATAATATAGGCTATACACGTGTTGCCCATTATCACAGATTGCGTGAAAAGATATTAAAGAGTAGCTAATATTTTTCGACAAAATTATAGCAATAATTAATATTTGATTTGTGATATTGTGTTTTCTCTTAAAAGACACATAAAGATAATAACATTAAGTCAAAACGGAAATTATAGGCAATAACTTGGATTGAATCACATCAACAAGCATTTCATAGAGTACAATAATTGCAATTCGTTTCATATTCGAGAAAAATTGCTTATTTTAACACAGACATCTGACACAAGTGTCTTATTTTAATGGTAAATAAACATATGCTAACTACACATTTAAAAAATATATTCTTTATATGACTTATTTAAAAAATATAGAAATAATGTTTAAATACATAATAATGTATTATGTATACAATTGTTAGACAGGTATATACTATATAATTACTATATAACGATTACAAATAATAACTTAGGTCCTGTACGCTTTCAAAATATGATAATATGACTTTTCAATAATATTATCACACCAAAATAACATACAGTATATTATAACATGTTATATTAAATTAAATTCAAAGCTGTTCTAATTTAATACTTTTGTTTGAAATCATTTTTTTTTACAATTACTAATGACTAGTGACTACTACTAGATTTAATTTTTAAGCCATTTTAATGAACAATTTTAAATGGAAATTTAAAGAAAAAATTAATACACCTACATTCAAAAAATAACAAAATAATTCACGATTTATTAATTATTGTGTTAAGACTTAAAAGTTTTCAAATTATTTTATTTAACTTATGCCAAATACATTAACAATTTAACTATCAATAATGTTAATAATATTATAGCGAATACTAAAAAACATAATATTATACGAATAAAACTTGCAAAAATAGGAAGTTTTATCGTTAAATTATAACTTTTTATCCTCTTATTTTTTTTTCTGAACTCGTACACAAAAAATTCTATACTGCCAATCATAATTTAGAAAACAATCTAATTATTAAGCAAACATTTTATAATTTATAGGTATAACTGACTACCTACTAGAGTTAATTTAGTTTAAACCTTCATTACAAGTGTTAGTGTTGAAAGTAATATAACTGGTCCAAGGTTCGTTTGTTAATTTAGCTTATAAACTAATATGATAAAAAAAAGAAAATTTTTAAATATCACGCAGTATTTTAACTAATTTGCGCAGTTAAAAAGTAATGCTCAAAAGCCAAAATATAAATACGGGTTGTATTATCAAGTATCGATAGCATGTAATGCTTTGTTAATAAATAATACGTTTTTCTTCAGTTAATAACATCTATAAAACAACAACAAAATTAAGAAAAAGTATATTATTGGACTACACGATTATTTTCTAACATCAACTTTTACCAGCACTTTTACACTATTAATTAGTATGCTATTTTTCTCTACTATATTACATAATATTAAATATATATATATATTATGCATGCATGTATGTGTGTGTGTGTGTGTGTGTGTGTGTGTGTGTGTGTGTGTGTGTGTGTGTGTGTGTGTGTGTGTGTGTGTGTGTGTGTGTGTAATGTAAGTTATTTTTGAATAATAATTCATACTCTTAAGTTAATTCTATTAATTTCGGTAATATTTTGTTTTGAAGATTAAATAAACATTGCACGAATAAAAAAAAACATTATTCATTAGTTTATAACTGTATCAATGGATATACCGCAATGTTAAGATGACTACGTATTTGTGTTGTTTCCATCTTACCAAAACACATGATATTCCAAAACTTATGGTTCAGTACTTCCAAGCATATCTATCTTACCCATGTATCTTGTTATTCGTTTTAAAATTTAAAAAAAGCATAACGAGGTTTAGATAATATTCTTATTTATAAATTTGATAATAGGTTAATTGGCTCCAATATTAATCATAACAGAGTTAAATCGATTTTCCAGAACGTACTATTTACTATGTTAGTAGTGTTTGTTAGATTGAGACAATACACGCGGGTACAGCGTCTTCTTAAGTATTTGCATTTCATTGTTTATTGTCTATAATATCATCTGGCAATCACATACACTTTTAAAACACACAAAAAAATTAATAATTATTGAGCTTGTAAAATTCCTAATAACATACATTATGTATCACTATAAAGTCGCTCCAAGGTTTGAAAAAAAATGATAGTAAACACTTCATTTTTTTTATTTTGAGTTTAGATAAACCAAAAAAATATAACAATTTACAATAGTGAAAATGCAAATAATTTTCTAAAATTATAATTTGAGATAAATATGCAGGTTAGACATTCTGCATAGTGTACCTATAATATTTAATTAGATGTCTATGTTTATTTAATATTTATAATTTCTAAATATACCATCGTAAAAAAACATACTTACATTTAATATCGTAACAATTAAAGACATCTTAACTAAAATAATTTAATCTGATATCATTAAATAGGTATTATAAATATTAAAAAACCATTATGAAGCATGTCATACAAAAAAATTATTATTTTTAGATTTTACTTAAACGAGGCAACAATTAATAAGTAATACTTGTTTTGATAGAAAAAAATATTATTGATGGAGATTGGTTTATCCAAGTATAAATAATTTCACAATATTATCGATTTTCATTATAGAAATAAAATATTTCTAAAGTAGGTATTGCATGTGTTGAACTCATGACTAAGTATGTAACTTAACTGTTTGAGTTATTGAATTATTGAGTAGAAGACTAAACAAAAGTTAAAAGTATAGTCATTCTGAAACTAATAGATATAATATTATTGTACCTTTAAGTACCTAACCAAGTTCTGATCTGAAATCTAAAACGATAATGATGTAATATGACAGTGTAATTACGCAAATAAAGCAACACCCGAGAACAACACTAATTTCTATTAGTTTACATTCTACTAGAAGCACTCGTATTAAGTATAATATAATATGATTGGTATATTCGCATTTCAGTTTAAGGTACTAATATTTCCAATTCATTTTAATTTACTTATAAAGAATCCATTAGCGAAATAATAAATTGTTATCACATTTTACTATGGATGCAACAATATGACGATATTAATTTTTTAATTACTGTTTTCGTCGAAAGATAAGGTTTGTTCCTAACCTAACCTTGATACCGGGTGTTCCAAGTTGTTCATACACATTTTTATGATCGATGTCACTACTCACTATATCAGTGAGTCGCATCGAAAACCTTAATATCTTGCGAATGCGGTATTTAAGATGATTACTATGACCAAATACTCTATCTCATTTAATTAATTTATTGCAACAATAAGTATACCACGAAAATTTATTGTCATTCTCTAAAACCAATTTTTTGATTTGTCACTAAATTTTTGAGAATTTACGACACCGTGGAGTTTTTTGGTAGGACAATTATTGTGTCATATTATTATTGCAGTTATAGGTTTAAAATTGAATGTGATAGTAATTACTAATTAGTAACTTGTAACTCGAGTAAGTATCTACCCTTAAAATCCGGCATTCACAAAACGCTAAATACGTTTTTGAATCCACACACTGACATGAGATCGTCTTCAAAGTTTTTAGTGAACAACAATCTCTATCATAAAATTATGACGTAAAGGCATATAAAAATGTTGTAAATGTGTTCTATATTTATTTAATAGTAACATAACAAGTTCACTATCTTTTTCCTATTTATTTATCAATACAAACATTAAAAAAAACTGTAAGACATTTTAAGGCTATTATCAACAAAATATAAACAAATACAATTTGTGATCACTATTTAATACACTTAAAGTAGATATTACTAACCTAATTACGTTTTATTTAGATTTCATTAAATGTTAGATTTTAACTATTGATAAATTATTTTCAGTTTTTCAAAAATATTGAAGTCAAATTTTTAACAATAAATGTATGTAGGTACTTAAATAAATGTGATTAGTGTTACTAAATATATATATATTTTGGATTTGATGCAAAGCAAGGATGGGTCTTACTGAATTTTCAAGTTTAAATTCCCATAATTATGTAATATATTTTATTTTTTAAGACATATTATAATTATATCTGATCCTTGGATTGAGTTTTCAATAGATAAATGTACAGTGTACACATAAATATTATAATTAATATTATAAATATTTAAACTATAATTCATAGTTTAATTTATAAATAGTAAGTATGTGCCATATGCAATATTAACTATTTGACTGCAATCTAGATAATACATTTATGTATAATAAGTAATAACTACCTATAGCAGTAGTATAGTAATGTATAGGTAGCTATTATATAACTGAGAAAAATCAATACCTACTTTTAATTTTTATGAAAAGTCAACATGCTACTGAATAAATTCCTTTTCAGATTTTACCAATATTTACTTAATATGTAATAGTCATAAATAGAACATGTTTAATGTAGATAATAATTATAAATGTATAACATACATTAAAATATTATAATAATTTATGATCAAAAATTGATAACACATCAAAATTAAATAATTGTGAATATTACAAATGAAAGGAACATTACTTGAATTTATTTTTATACTTTTAACTCATCAAAATTGATCAATAGGTAACAAATATTTTTTGAAAGTCCATTGGTTTTAATTCAATACATTTTATATGGGTTGTACCACTTTTACCATTGGTGTAAATATGAGATACTACAATTACATTAGTCAAATTACTTGACTATTCGGTGTAAAGGTTACACAAAATTTAAAAAAATTATCAATTTAATTTAAATTGAGCATTTTTTATAACTAATTATTTTTGTAAATTGTAGGTTAATCAAAAATACAACCTTAACAGCCTAGTGTCCTTGTCATCACATATGAGATTGAATAAACTTTTAATATTAACATATTTTGAATAAAATTCAACTTTACATAATATTTAGTACAGTTACATCATGTACCTATACAAATTCTCAGAATATTGATTAGAATATAGACAATAGGAATAATTTATATAAAGGTACCAGTCAGATAAAGGCGATTTGTAAAAGTTAATCCAATATCTAAATCCCGATTGAAAATTTTAATGTTATTAATTTATAATTGCCTAGGTCTAGGTCTAAACATTATAACATTGAGTGCCTATATAATAGTCAATAATAGTACTCAATGGTAAAAGGTATTTTTTTTTTTTTTGATACAGCCCACCATTAATCAATAATAAACTAGTATTTTTAATTTTAATTCAAGTTTATCATGTTAAAATACTTAAAATTATATATCTGTATATATCCGTGGATACCGATCAGTGCATCTTTTTGTAAAATAAAAAATAAAATTTATTTTTAGTTATAAACTATGATAAAAACAACTAGGCATTTTTAACTTAATTTACTATTACTAATTATCATTAAGTTATCATTGGTACAAAATACACATAACCGGCTGCTCTCACAATACAACTTTGTATAAAGTTAAAATATTGTAAAAATACAATGATAATTTCTTGAGTAATTTTTAAAATATATAATATTATTGGTAGGTACTAGTACATTTAGAAAACAGTATTTATGTTTATATGACATTAAATATTAAACACAAACTATGTGACAATAGCACAATACACAGAAGTATAAAACTAATAAATATGTAGATATATATATTATATTATGTAACATAATGTTTAATGTAGTCAACACACACACAGATATACAATAATTACTTATCGTAACTTATAATAAGGTAACAAATGGCACCTAAAAAATTGCAATGAACAAATAGTTAGGTTGATTATGAATTTTTTAAATAAAAAATTTCCTCTTGATATTTTATTGCTCACTGATAAATATGATAAAATATCAATTTTCAAATTTAACTAAAAAAAAATAATCAATTTGGTTAAAAAAAATACTATTATTTGAAAACAGGAGAAACTACAAAAAATTGACAACATTGTTCTTTGGTAAAATAGTTACACAAAACTCAACTCTTTAAAATGATTAACGAATAAAACAATAGTACAAATGTGTAACAAATTTGACCACTAACAGTAGCCTGTGACTATAAATACTAGTTTGGTAAGTTGGTAAACTATTAATTAATATTTCATATCGATTTCATACAATAAATGATTTTTCTTTAAAATTCAAAATTCAAATTAATATTTATACTCGTTTATACTTAAGTAATACATTTTTGATATAAAGCAATTCCATAGAATATTTGAATAAGTGGACAAATCAATTAATTATGTAGATAAAATTGTTTTATACAGTCAATAATGTACCTAATACATAAAATATTTTTAACTTATTGTCATCCATATGATGAAATGTATCTGTATACAGCTTAATTTGCAATAAATGTATTTAAAAATATATATTATACACCTACATTATACATGAATGCATCAACATTAGTCTAATTAAAAGCCTAATTATTATACCTATAGCCTCAATACTCATTCATAATATAAGGTGTTTATAATATATTTTACTACTTAGAGGCTTTAGTCTTTGGTATTTATAAAAGGTTAATTTTTAACAAAAATTTCTAAAAGATAACTTTCTACTGAGTTTTTAGTCATATAGGTACTGAATTATAAAACCAACAAAAGTAATCAATAGTTTTCAAGTATTAATCAATACGATAGCAAAAATCTATCACTGATGCTAATTAAGCCCAAAAACTTTAATTTGTATGTAATTTTTTATATAAAAATTAATTATTAAAAGTTATTAAATAAATATATACCTACAAATTTTCTGTTTAGTTTGATACTAGAATGTTATTGTACTACTTTTATGTTATCTTGAATAAAGCCAATCTCAATTTCGTTATCTTGACTACCACCCAATGCTAAGACTACCTGGCCGAAAATTGTCTTTTTTAACTATACTAAGTTTTTTGTATTGTTGGATTGCAGAAATGACATTGATTAAACTGTGAGAAAAACATTTGAATATGAATCATTGCACAGCAGTAGATAAGAATAACTATATGTAAGAAGTATATACAGTAGCTGTGACAAAAATAAGGAAATAAAAAATGTGGGTCCTAGACTTAGTGCCTATATTTTTATAGAGAAAATAAAATACTGCAAGAGCATGACCACAACAGTAGTTATATGGAGACATTTGTAACAAAACTAATTAATCTTTCTTGAAAAAATATGATAGTTAAGTCGAGTGGTAGTCAAAATAATGAAATTGTATCAAATTTGTAGTCATAGCATCAGGCGGCATTCAAGATAACGGAAATGTACCACTTTAATACTTAAGTTATATAAAGAAGAATATATAAGTATTTCAAAGTTTCCCAGTTTACATCTACTAAGCATTCCACCACAAATAAATGTTTTAATATTATTCCTTAGTATTATATTGATCATTGTAAAAAAAAGGAAGAAAGCATACATACCATTAAATGGCCAAATATGTGCAGGTAACGAATGAGCCGAATAAACACGTCCAAGACTGATGTTAGCAGTGACTGTAGGACTGTCCAAGTTCTGATCGTCATTTGAGCTGCTGTCAGCTTCCAAGACATCTGTGATATCAAACCGTGGACTCGTTGAGTTGCTGTTGTTGTCATGGCAATTGGGCACTCCAGACAGAGACCTGGCGCGCTGTCTGTCGTTAGCTACAGCACTGGGTAGGGAACGCAGAATGCTGAACCCAGGGTTGCCGGCCGTCTGTACAGAATCCGACCCGTTGCCGGAAGAAAACGACTGGTGGTCTCCGTGGCCGGCGCCGCCGTCATCGCCGTTGGCCGTGCTGGCCTTCGCTCCCATCTTGCATGCAACGAACGTTCACGCGAACACCGCTGCACGACGACGCGGACGAACACGGACGGTGGAGCTTTGAGTTTTTAGTCTCTGTCGCGAGCGTCGTACTATAAGCAAACGACCACCGAAAGACGACGTTCCGTCAAGCGGACGACGACGTCCGGAACATTCGACATCGATCGCCGCACCAAAAATCAACTGCCAACGTGTACTACTAATGGCGCACTTCAAATCACAATGAAATTCACTTGGAATTGCGCACAGAAACAAAACGCGTTTCAGTTCCGACTTTCCGACGACGGTATGAGAACGAAAACAAAGAAAATTAATAATAATGACGATATGATAATAACAAATAATAATAACGATATCACGAAAAATACGACGAAGATTGTTTCAAAGTAATAACTACAATAATATCGGTTAATTACTTATTTGTTGTTTCGATCATTAATTTTATACTACTTTTTTTCCGTCCTAGCTTTTCGTTCGTCGTCTCTCCGACACTCAAGTCTTTATGTCGTCGCGCAGTTACAAATTGGTAGTTCTGATAATGATGATAACATGGTCAACTGGTGAAAAAAAAAAAAAAAATAACAAGTCCCGACGTATAACATTATAACATGCAGCTATAACATAGCGACGAGGGAAGGAGGATTCCTGATCAGCTGTTCCCGACGTAATAATAATAATAATAATAATAATAATAATAATAATGATAATAATATTATTTAACATGTCGGAGTGACGAGTGTGGCGACGGTGTTGTCTTGGCCGTATACATTACATAAACTTAAGGCCAAAGTCTCGATTACGACCGTACAGACACACTACCACAGAATAGCATGAATAGACAATGTTTTGTGGTAGTGGTGGTACAAACCACCCACTGCGTATTAAACTGCAATAGTGCAATGCCGATTATTATTGCAATACGTACCTATTATATTACGCTAAACGTAATTTCACCAATCGTGGTTAGTGGTTACGTTTTACAATTCGACACATCCACATAGCTATGCGCGTATTGGTATAACTATTAATTACTGCGTAAGAAGTAAGGTATAACTAGAGGCGTATTTAGTCTGAGGCCCCCAAAGTTCGACCAAGATGGGAGGTGGAGGGAGCAGTATGGTGACAAAAAAATACCCCCTAAATCCCTAGTAATTATTTTTTTTTTTACTCAAACTAAGGCCTGAAAGAATTATTTTTAATATTTATATGATGAGTAATATTATAAGTAGGATTGTAGGAAAATAGTTAGGTGTATTAGGTCATATTTTAATATAGATTTTTTTTATTACATTCTGTGGGCTATAGCATCACCCCATAACTGTTTACTATTTAATAATTTGATTTCAGTGGTTAATGGGGCCTTAAAACCTCCATCTCCGAAAGCCGATATGTCACCAAGTGCTATGCCAAGTCCAATGCTATGCCACTGAGTGTCTGAGTATAACTTATTATTATAGTCTGTATTACGTGGATACTCCGGGGCACAAGTACCCATTGAATTTGTTTTCATAAAGTGCACCTCTCCATTAAATTTAAAATCATTAAAATATTCTGTATAATATACAATAAAAATAAATAATATTATGCTACCTACTAAATATACTTAGACTTAAAAGTTACAATATGTAAATGAGGGAAGGATTTCACTGGTATAGATACTCATGTATACACTACCTACTTCATAGTTACAACTTAGGTAAGGTAACCTATGTAAGTAGGTACTTCATACCTACATGGGTAGGTACAAACAATTGTAACTGCTTCTCTAGACACTTTAATACATATAAAATATTCTCCTCTACAAATTTAGTTATAGTAACTAGTATAAATTCTTATATAAGTTCAAATTGCTCTTTTTTGATTTTGTTATGATAATTTGCAAAATAGTAAAATATTTTTTTCGAAATTGATGCTTTTTTTTGCACATTAAATATTCTTTCAAAATTGTACACCCGTGTATGCTATAGGTATTCGTCCAGCAAACGTACTATAATAAATGCCCAAGGAAATGTTAACATTACCTGTAACTTATACTCGAGGTAATGAATTGACTTATTATTAAATTTAAAGCTACATACAAGAACTTACAGTAAAAACAATATTTGTATTTGCACGTCCAGTGGTGTAATTGCGGAGGCAAACGCATCATTTTGCCCACCCAGATAATCCATCAATAAAAATCCGTGGTGGGAAGGTGGGTGCTCAGGGTTTTTATGTTCATAAATAAGTTATTTTGCCTCCCCCCCCCCCCATTGGGATTTTATAAAGTTAGCCACTGTGCCCATGATGCTTTTTAAACATTTTTCGAACAAGTTACATATGAATTTTATTAAATTGCTGCAATATTTTCCATACCTACCAACATACTCATATTTTGCTTCAAAATGTGCAAACACAGATAATGATGTTCTTATATACAAGTTACTAGATGAATTCATTACACAAATAAAAGGTAGCACAAATATGGTTTTGCTATAAAGTATAAATGCAAATTTGCTGTTGTATACAAGTGATATGTAAGAGACAAAACAATGAACATAATAGCAAGTAACAAATTAAGAGGTACCTATGCGGGTGACGGGCGTGTCGTCCTCAATATCTTAATTACATTGATATTAATCATAATAATTAAATTTGGGGATTTAGGTTTGTGTAGGAGAGCATTCGCCACCTTGAAATTTAAATTACTAACTCTTGGCCAACTGTTGAGCAGTCGCTAAATGCTAATAGTGTTTAAGATGTGCATATCTACCAAAATTGTATCTGAGATTGAACTCTATTGCTGTAGCCCACGGCTTTAGATAGAATCTAAAGCCGTGCTGTAGCCTGTAATGCATTCGGTCGAAGCGTCCGGACCATAGACATATTAATATGTCTATGGTCCGGAATCCGGATGATAACTGCAGCGCTTTCAACCGGCTTGATTATGAGCTTTAGTGAACGGACGTAACGAAACACTAAATACTTTGCTCGCTAGATGACGCTGCCGTATACGTTATTTTTACTTTTTTTGGGAGAACAAAAGTTTGAATGATCGGAGTGACGGAGTGTAGAATTTATAATGAATATTTTAAACATTGATAGGAAATATCAAATATTTGAAAATACATTTGCGTAAATCTAGTTTATTATGAAATTTAATTTTATTTCGATTTAAATAATCAATATTTCTTTTATAATTTTTGTAGTATGAAAATAAATTATACTATATTAAAATTTCAAATAAATTCCATCTCAAAATATGCTGTTGGCTAAACAGTGCATCATTTATTAATAATGATTAACAAACTTGGTGTTATTTATATAGTGTGATAATAATTATATTAACTCATTTAAAAATATGATAAATTAATACAATATTTTTAAAATTTATGCTATGCATCATTTTTATAATATTTAAAGATTTTCCCCTACCTGAATACCTGATACTTTTCTTTGTTCTTGTTCTTTGAACGGACAGGGAACTAATTAGAGTAGGAGGAAGATCCAAAATCTCACACTTGAAAATTAATATTATATTCTTATAAATCTATTGAATCAATAAATTATTATTAAAAATTATTGTTGCAAAAGCATTGGCAAGGCTTTATTACAAAAAAATTAGACTAAATCCTATTATTTTATTTTATGTGAGCATTTTACTAAAATATCTTATTATTGTTAAATTTACTAAATTTAGTTACTTTGAGTTTTATATATTATGGTATTGATATCATCTCTGTTCTACTATTAACACAAATACCAGATACTAGTAGCTAAAATATAGGACTATTTTTTAAATAATCAGTGGATCAAAAATTAGTGATTTATTTTTGTTGACATACAATTTTTCAATCCAACTATGAATCATACCAAACACATCTTAAAATGTGAATAATACGATTTGCACTGGAAATTCAGTTTTTTAAAGTTTAATAGAATAGCATGGCAGATAAACCACTACTAACTAAAGATCTCAATGATAAAATTGTCAAATATAAAAATTAAAAATTAACTTTTTCTTAAAATAAGCCTAACAAATTACATTTTTTTTTTAATGTTTTAAAAAAAAAATAAACATAATAAAAACTCAGTAAAATAATATACAAGTGTAAAACAATAGTTAAAACCTTATGTTGTTATTTTTATTGTTCTAAAATATATTTACAAAAAAAACTATGAGAATTAGTTTGAAAGTACATAAATTATTTATGAACAATATAATATAAATATAGTAAGTGACTTGTCATTTGTCGAAGAAATAATAAACTAAAAAAATTAAAATAAACCACTAGAGTCTGAATAGTAAATTATTCACATAATTACATTTGGACCAGAATTAATCATCCTATTAGAATTGAATACTGATAAAATTTGATAGAAACACTCAACCTTATGCACAAAACTATCCTGTAAAAAAAAAAAAATTATATGAATAATTTTTTCAAAGATTAAACATTAGGAATTTGAATGTCCAGAATTTCAATAAGTTCAATTATTAGAGATTTTAGAATATCTGAGATCGTATGATTTCATAGTTTTGTGACTTAGAAATCTGACCATCCTGTAAAATCATAATACCTATGTATTAAGTTAAAATTTAGTCATTATGTTCATTACTTAATATTGAAAATTATTATCATTATATTATATTTCTACTTAACATAAAATAGAATCCCTATTATTTCTTTATTTTATAAATAAATAAATAATTATTCACATAACAAAATCCTTACCTATAAAAAAAATATAAATGATAGTCCATATATATGATAATAGATCAATAATTAATCTCCTTTGATTTACTATGTTGATTCAATAATGAAGCCGGACAGTCATCTTAATGTAATTGATGCTAAAATTAAAATCAACCTATGAATAAAATAAAGTACATTAAATATCATGTATACATATTTTAAAGGTTATACACTCACTCATAAAAAGTATTTGCAACAAATCATCATGCAATGTACAGCAACATCAAATATCCTTGAATGAAGACCCACATTTTAATATTAAATGTAATTTTTTATTTACAGGCCAATGCAAATGCAATGATCATATTAAAGCGAATCGAGTAATTAAATTTAAGAAAGAATTATTTTGACTAAATGCTTTGTCTGTTAATGTTACATACAAAACAAATATATCGGTAATTGATATGAAGCTCCCAGTTATTTCTTTTTAAAATTGATCCACATTGTAATTGGCATCTGCTATACTTTCTTCCATGATGCATAGGTATGATTTTCATAAAATTCAGCACCAGAGCACCTACTTACCTAACTCAAGTTTTGGCACCAGTAATAGCACACTTTCATTGAGCAAGGACTTTTTCCCCAATTTCAAGATAATTGAATTTTCTTGAAGTGTTTGGGACATCTATTACTTACTCATAAGTCATGATATAACAAACAGGTGTAGATACAAAAAATAGCAGTCATTTCTTCATAACAATTTGTAGACATCAGAATGATGAAGGTCGTTACCAAAGACAATCGACAGAAAAAAAAAAAAAAGTGACCGTAGAAAACGAAGCTGAATTTCCCAAAGATACGGCTAACATTTTTGTGCAAATTG